CAGGGGGAATGGGGGCACTTTCCATTTTTTTTTTAATTCTTATTTATTTTATGCTGTATCATTAAAAACTTTTCATATCACTTTTATTGCTGTCACAAGAACTGTAAACATCACTTGTGACAGCAATAGGCAGTGACAGGTACTCTTTATGGAGAGATCTGGGGTGTATTGGACCCCAGATGTCTCCTCTGTCCTATAACCATCTGAACACACACCACCACTGGTACAAAAATGTCCATAAAGTGCTAATTGTGAAAATCTATCCAATAATGATCTTAAGGTAAGTGCTTTGTATACTCTAACGATTATTCGGTGATGTGCCAGGAATATGTTAAGATTACGCACTCACTCAGTCGTCCTCCAGAATGGGCTCTGTAGATTTGTTAGCTCATGACGAGCCAGAAAGAAGGATGCCCATACTGTAGTATTTTCCAATTGTAATTGTTTATTTTTGAAAGGTAAGGTAAACAAGTAAAAAAAATGACACTGACCATATGAATCCAAGATGGCCGCCGGACCTGCTTGTGGTCTCGGCGGCGTGACGTCACTGTGTACGGCTCCTCCTTTAAGGCCTTTAAGGAGGAGCCGTACACAGTGACGTCACGCCACCGAGACCACAAGCAGGTCCGGCAGCCATCTTGGATACATATGGTCAGTGTAATTTTTTTTACTTGTTTACCTTACCTTTCACAAATAAAAAATTACAATTGGAAAATACTACACTATGGGTGTCGTAAAATCCGTGCATCAGAGATGGACGCGGTTCAACCATTTTGGCTTCAACCTCCATCTTGGCGGAGGAATTAACCCTCCTGATATATGTTATTCCCTCATTCTCGTTCCCCCCCCCTCCCTTCCTGAGAGGCACAGTGACAGATGTGTGTGTATTAAAAGTGTCACAGGCCAGATCCCAGCAGGGAGCCACGTGGTGCTGCACTGCCCAGAGAACATGTGTAATTTCACACCTCGTGAAAAGATAACAGAGCCTTCCCAGGAGTTGAAAGGGACTCTGGGCTAATAAACTTAACTCAGCATAGGTGACAGAATTAGATGAACACTTCTCAAATCAATTTTTCCCTTATGTCTCATATCTTGGAATATGAGAGACCTACATAAAAACCGGACCCCTCGTCAGATGGCCAATGAGCAGACGAACAGTTTGATGGGTCACTCATTTATCTCGGGCCATCAGAGAAGCCGGAACATAGAACTCGCGAACCGTGCCACATATAATTTCATAATTCATATCTAAATAATCCTCAGGCTTATCCGCATAATAAAATACCCACGGGTAGACTGTCGCTTGTGCAGCTGGAATGTTATGGAACAGAATATGAATTATGAAAGATGTTGGCCTCAGTTTAGGGTCCCACCTGCTGATCCCTCCCTGCACAAGGGATTGGTTTGTTACTTCAAAACCACCCCCTTCCGGGAAACTTTAAAACCGGCTATCAGGCCTAAGAGAGTAGAATTGAAGACATCTCCCATTTTTCCATCGTAACAGCGGGAGATCAAAGCACCATTCTGCTCTAAAAAACTTGGATCTGCTTACATCAAAGGCTTACTGGCAAGTAACTTAACCCTTTAACTTCTCTCTGTTATCTCTTTTCTGTGCTATGCTGTTTCCTGTATATGTATATATATCTTAGTTACATCTTCTCTGTAAATATTTTTATTGCACCTGTTTGACCCTTAGTAATAAATCTCTCTTTCTGAAAGTGTTGAACTGTTTCTATAGTTCTTGATTGCAGTTTAAGAATCCCTGCCTTTAAAGAGATGCTACTGTTTGTTTTAACTCTCTGTATAACCGGCCTGTGTCAATGACCGGGTTATGCGGACGATTATTTCAATTATTATAGTGTTATAGCGATATTCCGAGTTTCCTCTTTCTCTGATCAAAAAGGAGGTGGTGGCAGTGTGAAGGGGTTAATTGCGTAATTAACCCGACCCAGTAAAAATCGCTCAGGTTGCAGGTACATAGATTGTGGTCCATTAGCTGGAAAATCTTTGTGCAGGGTGCGGCTGGGCGTGGTATTGTTACGCACGTCACATCGCGGTTCGGATCGGCCAGTCCTTCGGTCACGAGTTTGGTGAGAAGGTCTGGGGACTGACGATGCGATCGTGACATATTGGACGTCGCGATCGTGAGATTGTCGCATGTTGGTGGCGGCGATCTTGCGATCCGTGACAACGGGCATCCTTCTTTCTGGCTCGTCATGAGCTAACAAATCTACAGAGCCCTTTCTGGAGGACAGCTGAAGTGCTGCAGATAACCCAGGGGAAAGGGATCTCTCTGACCAGATCAGGCTGTACACATCCTTAAGGGGACCTCCGGATGACAACATTATATACAAATGCATATTATTATTACGCATCTGGTGAGTGTGTAATCTTAACATATTCCTGGCACATCACCGAATAATCGTTAGAGTATACAAAGCACTTACCTTAACCGTTTCAATACCGTGCAATTTTACACCTTCCTGCCCAGGCCATTTTTCAGGTTTCAGCACTCTTCAGGTTGCAGCAATGAGGATATACAGACTGTCAAATTTCTGTTTACTGTAGTCAGGTCAGGAGAGGAAATCTTTTGATGGATTATCATCTTTGCATAAAAGACTGATTTCTGAATTGGGAAGAGGGAGCTATCGTTCAGCATAACCACCTACACCGGTTTCAAGGTTCTACTGTGGAAAGCTGTTGTGTCTGAAACCCTTTATAGATTATGGGATAACGAAGGGGACCTGACCAGACCTGACCAGACCTCTGATGACATATTGGAAGTCTCTATAATATATAAAGGCGCATAAAGGTTGCGCATCTGGTGAGTGCGTAATCTGTATCCTCACTGTCTCTCCGCGTGCACAGTCTATGTTGTTTGGAAGTCCATGGATCGATTGGGATCTTGTTCACATTTTTCACGTTGGACTTATCTGTGGACACAGCAGTTTTTTCCTCACATTATATTAGCCACCGCATAGTGGCATATATATGAGTGCACAGCATCACTTTATGTTTTTTGCATGATTTTATACATGTATATATATGTTCATTTATTTGTACTCTAGCGCTGCACCTTTTTGTATATGACAGAAAATATTGAATCCTTCCAATTCTAATCTGTCTGATTTGATAATATATAGCAATATTTCGGAAAAAACTACAACATTTTTCAAAACTAATCAGTTAAACATAACGAATAGGATGGAACAAAATTCTTCAATTAACAAATGCATCTAAAAGTAATTGAAAATTTCCGGCATGCACATGTCTAGTGGTGGTGGTGGAAACAGTTTTCAGTTTACCATGACGCCAGTTGATATTGTCCAATTGGCTGTCACAGTCCCCCCTCTCTGCTCCCTCTCTTCCCCCCTCCTTTGGATTCCTGCACCCCCCTTCCCCATTACATGCCCGTGCGCCTGCACGTAGCCCACATAAAGTGGTGTTCGGGGCGCCAAGGAGCTGCCTCCTGCTGGGAGTCCCCACACCTCACCTCGGCCAAGCTCTGAGGAATCTTCCGCCCCACTGTGCCTGCATGTGGATTCCCCACATGCGGGCACAGCTTGACCCCAATGTTCCTGCACTCTGCACCCACCGAAGACAAAGGGCGCACTCCCTGTGCACAGGCGGAGTGAGGGGCGGAGCTTGTTGCCACGACAACCTGGGTGCATCCTGCTCCGGAGATAAAAGACTGGAGCAGGACCTGGGCAGGGGTATCTTCCCCTGCTCGCAACCCAGGGTGCTGTGAGAGGTCCTGTGCTGCAGCCAGACCCTACAGCCAAGCCGGACCTAACCCAAGGCCTGCCTTCTGCTGTGTGCCCCTTGGAATTAACCGTTGCCTTCCAGAGCCTGCCTTCCTCTATGCGCCCCTGGACTTAACCATTGCCTGCCAGAGCCTGCCTTTCCACTGTGTGCCCCAGACTTAACCCATTGCGTGCCAGAGCCTGCCTTCTGCTCTGTGCTCTTTGACTTAACCGTTGCCTGCCAAATCCTTCCTTCTGCTGTGTGCCCCGGACTAAACCCATTGCCTGCCAGAGCCTGCCTTTTGCTGTCTGCCCTGGGCTTAAACATTGCCTCCCAGAGCTTGCCTTCTGCTGTGTGCCCTGGCCTGCAGCCAGACCCTACAGCCAAGCCAGACCTAACGCAAAGCCTGCCTTTGGCTGTGTGCCCCTTGGAATTAACCATTGCCTACCAGAGCCTGCCTTCTGCTGTGTGCCCCTAGACTTAACCATTGCCTGCCACAGCCTGCCTTCTGCTGTGTGCCCTGGCCTTAACCATTACCTGCCAGAGCCTGCCTTCTGCTGTGTGCCCCGGCCTTAATTATTGCCTGCCAGAGCCTGCCTTCCGCTGTGTGCCCCGGACTTAACCATTGCCTGCCAGAGCCTGCCTTCTGCTGTGTGCCCTGGACTTAACCCATTGTCTGCCAGAGTCTGCCTTCTGCTGTGTGCCCCGGACTTAACCATTACCTGCCAGAGCCTGCCTTCTGCTGTGTGCCCCTAGACTTAACCATTGCCTGCCAGAGCCTGCCTTCTGCTGTGTGCCCCTGGACTTAACCATTGCCTTCCACAGCCTGCCTTCCGCTGTGTACCCCGGCCTTAATCATTGCCTGCCAGAGCCTGCTTCTGCTGTGTGCCCTGGACTTAACCATTGCCTGCCAGAGCCTGCCTTCTGCTGTGTGCCCCTGGACTTAACCATTGCCTGCCAGAGCCTGCCTTCTGCTGTGTGCCCCTGGACTTAACCATTGCCTGCCAGAGCCTGCCTTCTGCTGTGTGCCCCTGGACTTAACTATTGCCTGCCAGAGCCTGCCTTCCGCTGTGTGCCCCGGCCTTAATCATTGCCTGCCAGAGCCTGTGTGAGATGGGGAAACACTGTTTGTGTGGAAGTAAATTAATGTTTTGACTGACATTCTGCGGTTTAGCCACAAGATGTCACTGTTTTTCTAACACAGCCTCAGACTGCATAGATATTTGTATATTCATGAAGAGGTGGGGTTTTGCACACAGAGTTGGAGAGAACAGGAAGGAGAGAGAGAAGCCATGTTTTGGAGCATGGTGAATAAGGGGCCATGTGAGCTGAGAATCTGATGAGATCCTGTCAGGGACCCCAGATCTTTCCGCGGCACACAGGTCTGCGCATGCACGGTATGCCGGGCTGCACTAGCGGGCGAGCATTAAGACCTGGGCACCTGCGGCTGTTGCGCATGCGCACTCGCGATCGCGGATGCACGCCTGGCACCAATAAGGGCGCAGGGCGCCCTATTTAAACAGGTCAGGTCTATGCTCTAGTTGCTGTATGGTCTTACCTGTATCCTGTGTTTCCTGTATTAGATTGCCTTGTTGCCGACCCTGCCTGACCTTGATTTGCTGACTGTCTCCTGCTCTGATCCCTGGCTTGTCTGACCATTCTCCTGTCTAATCCTGCACGATTTGATCTCCTGTTACTGAACCCGGCTTGTGACCAGTTTATCCTTCTGTCTACTGTTTTTGTACCGTTCTGCCTCCACTGCTACCGACCGGCCTGCCCGACTCCGCTCTCTCTACCTCTACTACCTTACATCAGGCTCTCACCTGCTATACACCTCCGGTAGTACTTCTACCACAGCTGGGTGCACCCAGGGGCCACGACCTGGTTTTGGCCTGCTCCAAGTCCATCCCCACCATCAGGGGCCCTGGTAAACAAGCAGGTCGGGGCTTAGATTCCGTGCCTTGGGGAATTCCAGTCTGTGGAACGCTAGAGGCTACCACCGGCAGGTCCTTAACACATCCAGGTGTGAAAGCGTCCCTTAGTAACCAGAGCTGCAGCTGAGTGAAGCTGATGAGATTGCTGCCAGGAAGCTGATGAGATTGCCACCAGGAATGCTGATGAGATTGCCGCCAGGAATGCTGATGAGATTGCTGCCAGGAATGCTGATGAGATTGCTGCTAGGAAGGCTGATGAGAGCAGAGGAACTAAGCAACATATACGGCGAGACATTTGTTCTGTTCAGAGTCACCAGCGGATGAAAAGCAGGCCCGGGTCGGTAAGATCGTGCACGCACCTCATTTCAGTGTTGGCGCCTTGAGACTGAGTCCAGGCCTATAGTTAGTTAGTTAGGGTCTCTGTGTCAGGCCACAAGTGTTGTTACTGATTATTGGAAGGACTCCACAACTTAAAGTGACTTTTCACATTGGAGAGCTGATAAAATCCTACAAACTCAAGCCAAACTATGGGTTTTGCTCAGAAGGAATACTCAGGCACGTGCTACAGGACCAGTTATGGGAGAGGGAATACTGTAGATTTGTGTAAGATTGTAAGCTGTTGTGCTGCACCACAGGCTAGCCCATACCGTACACCCATACACTGATTCCTGCTCTTTTAGGGTAATAACAGGTAAGGTGTGGAAGCTTATTTTTGCCCGCCAGTAGGTAAATTACTTCACTTTCTACCTTCATCCATCAGGAGGCGCCGTGCTGTGCAGCACAAGGGTCTCAGCCTTTGGGCTGGGTGTATGTAAATTTATTGTATGTTCCCAGCATTTGTGGTTGTGTTTATTTGCAACATCTAAGTAAAATTCTGTTGTGGCAAAAGCTGGTGTTGGGGTTGCTGTCCTCGTTCGTGACTTCACTGTATCCTGGGGAGCCCACCCCGGTACACGGCTTACACCTGCCTTCTGCTGTGTGCCCCTGGACTTAACCATTGCCTGCCAGAGCCTGCCTTCTGCTGTGCACCCCTGGACTTAACCATTGCCTGCCAGAGCCTTTCTTCTACTGTGTGCCCCGGACTTAACCATTGTCTGCCAGTCTGCCGCCCTGTTGTGTGCTCCTTGTCATGTGTCCCGCCCTGTGGTACGGACTTAACTTTTGTTTTACCAAAACCTTGCTATACTTATTGTGCGCCCTCCAATCACTCAATAAAAGCCTTGTGTGACCCATCGCTCTCCGCGTGTGTTCTGTCCCACCTACACCTCTGTCACACAGCTCATGTCATTTTCCTTGGTGGGTTGGACTAGCGACAGAAAATATTGAATCCTTCCAATTCGAATCCTAGTATGTGTATGTGTGAATGTGAGTTAGGGACTAGATTGTATGCCTTTTGAGGGTTAGGGACTGATGTGAATGTGCAACATATTTGTAAAGCGCTGTGTAAATTGACAGCGCTATATAAGTACCTGTAATAATAAATAATAATAAATGAAACTTTCTAGCATGCACTTGTCTAGTGGTGGTGGTGGAAATGGTTTTCAGTTTACCATGGATGTAACTGATTAAATATTTCTATTGTGGTCACTACAAAGGAGAGAGAGAGAGACAGACAGATAGAGAGATAAATACAGAGAGAGAGAGAGAAATACACACATAGCATGTTTCCTCTAGATAGATAGATAGATAGATAGATAGATAGATAGAGAGACAGAGAGAGAGAGACAGAGAGATAGATAGATATAGAGAGAAAGACAGACAGATAGAGAGAGAGAGAGACAGGCAGGCAGATAGAGAGACAGACAGACAGGCAGATAAAGACAGACAGACAGACAGAGAGAGAGAGAGAGAGAGAGAGAGAGAGAGAGGAGAGAGAGAGAGAAAATACACACACATAGCATGTTTCCTCTAGATAGATAGACAGAGAGATAGATAAATAGAGAGAGAGCTAGAGAGAGAGATACAGAGAGAGAGAGAGAGAGAGAGAGAGAGAGATAGGCAGAGAGAGAGAGAGATAGGTAGAGAGAGAGAGAGATAGGTAGAGAGAGAGAGAGATAGAGAGAGAGAGAGAGAGAGGATAGGCAGATAGAGAGAGAGACAGAGATAGGCGGAGCGAGAGAGACAGATAGAGATAGGCAGATAGAGAGAGAGACAGATAGAGATAGGCAGATAAGAGAGAGAGAGACAGATAGAGATAGGCAGAGAGAGAGACAGATAGAGATAGGCAGAGAGAGAGAGAGAGAGAGAGAGGTAGAGAGAGGGGGAGAGAGAGAGACATAGGCAGAGAGAGAGAGATAGGCAGATAGAGAGAGAGACAGATAGAGATAGGCAGAGAGAGAGAGACAGATAGAGCTAGGCAGAGAGAGAGAGACAGATGGGCATTTAGATATAGACAGACAGAGAGCGAGAGAGAGAAAGAGAGCCAGACAGACAAAGATAGAAATACACACACATAGCATGTTTCCTCTTGTACCAAATTGTATTGTCTCCCTTCATCTTGTAAAGCTCTATGCAAACTGTTGTCGCTATATAAATCCTGTATAATAATAATGATATATGTGTGTTTGCCTGCCTGCTTTGCAGTGCTTTTTGTGTTTCTTTTCAATGTGAAGTTGCCAAGATAAATGAACACAATATAAACTTTCTGTAAAAAATTATTTTTTTGTTGACAGCACAATCACCCCTCCTTTCTTCCTTTCCAACTGTACCCCTCTCCTTAGTCAACCCCTCTCTCTCTCTCTCTCTCTTCTCTTCTCTCTCTCTGTCTCCTTCCCAAATATTTAGCACGTGATGCTGCTGCTCAGATGTGTCACTTCAGGCCATAAAAGTGAAGGGAGAGAACAAAAGGCACAGAGGAGTATAAATCCCCAGCAGGGATTCTCTACTCACTGACAGGCACCAGGCAGCTCCTCCACACATACACACAGGAAAGAGAGAAACTCTCAGGCAAAGAAAGAGAGAGAGAGAGAGAGAGAGAGAGACAAAGAAAGTAGAACAAAGAGTGTGCAGCCATAGACAGTAGTCACTACTACCTCCCTCATCCAACCTGTGCTCCGACAATGAGAATGCATCTCCTCATTATCCTGCCTGCCCTGTGCCTACTAGGAGTACAAACATCACCTTTACCTCAGGGGAACTCCCAACCCAGCATGCAGGTGAGTCACATACTGTCCTCCGCTTTGCATGTCTTATTATTTCCTACTTAGAAAGTTATTAGAAAGCTCATACAATCATGGCATGCTGCAAACTTGTACCACCTCATTCATTTTATATGCCGGCTAGCAGTGAGGATAACTTTTAGTTTGCAGGGATTTGGGAACGTGATGTGATTTTGTGCCATACTTTGACTGGACTAATCAGACTTCATTCAATGTCCTCAGACTGAGAGAAAAGTTCTAGCCAGGCGACTCTGGCCAAGTTGGTGTCATCTGGGGTGAAAACATGCACGCTGGGACATTTGGACTTGTGTCACCTCATTCTTCAATTAGGCTTTGACCTTTTTGTTTTTGTTGTTTTTTAAACTGCCAGTCAAAGAAGATAAATCTCCTTCCCGTAAACCACTGTAAACCCATACACACTGCAATTTGATTGTAAAATGGATCTGTAATGCCATCACGTTAAAGCCAGTTATAAACGCAGAAACAAAATTGTAATATATTACATCTTAAGCCGGTCCATACATTATACCATTTTCTGATTCAACCTTCAACTGTGTAGTGCTGTCTGATTGAATACAAATTGAAAGTGTTTAGGTCCGACCTCATATTATATGGTTTTGGTAAATCTAAAGGAAAATTGTACAAGAATATTGTATAATGTATGGCTAGTCTTATCAATTCATAGAGGTGTTGACTGCATTTGTTTTCTTTCTTAGGCTTTTTTTCCTTTATTTTCACCTGGTGATCCTGCCAGTAAATCTGTTATGTTTTAACTACCTTTAACGGAGCAAGATATCCATTAAAATGTCAGTTAGAGGGATGAGACAAACTATTTACCACTGACAGGGGTGCTTGCTATGATCAGCTGTTATTCATTTAGAGCCAGTTCACACTGACATGCTCTAAAATGTATGGAAAATGGATGTACATTTCCATCCATTTTAGTCATGCACTGACATCCATTCATGTGTGTATGTATATATATATATATTTTGTTATAATTCTTTATTCATGGAAACCTTCTTACAAAGGATGATATGAACATAAGTTTGTACTACAGAGGCATAAAATCGATACCTACATCATATTTTCAAATTTCAACACACATAAATGAGCATAGAGATTGCATCCAGGACTGTTGTCAGAAACCACGGGGCCCCATACAGCCAACTTGACAGGCTTACCCCTCCCCCCGAAAAAGCCACTGTTTACTATGCTTCAGTTATGAATCAACACAGTGAGTGATCAGTAGCAGTCACTCATTGGGGTTGATTTGCTAAAGCTGGAGAGTGCAGAATCGGGCTAATTTCTGCATAGAAACCAATCAGCTTCCAGGTTTTATTTCCAAAGCTTAATTGACCAAGCTGAGGTTAGTAGCTGATTGGCTACCATGCACAGCTGCACCAGGTTTTAGTAAATCTACCCCATTGTGTTCATTCTGGAAAGGAAGGGGCTGGTAAATGTGACATATCTAGCAGACCCTTCCCCCACTTTCCATCCTGAAGGATCCTATTTTGTGCTCACAACTGCCGGTGGAAAGGAGAGGAGGGAAGCCGGCAGCAATGAAGGTGTGCGGGGGCCTGGGCAGTAAGGGGAAATACTAGAACCGATCCCCTGTATGGCTCTGTCTGAAGCAGCTGAAAGCTATCAGGAGGGGGAGGAGAAGAAGCCAGCTTTCAGCTGCTGCAGGGAGAGCCATACAGGGGATCGGTCAGTAATTGCCCCCCATTGTGCCGATCACCCTCCCTGCCCCCATCCAATTCAGCCAGCTGCCTGGGCCCCCCTGCTGGCCTGTACCCCGTACAGGAGAACTGGTGTTACCCCCTTATCCACGGCCCTGATTGCATCACATAAGGTGAAAAGACAGGGTAAATTTTGACATCTGTTGACATACATTTTGAAGTCCATTGACATGCATTTTAGCACGTATTAAAGCATACTGAATTTTCATAGGATATCCTATGAAGGATATCCGCTTACATCCGTTGCATTGCGCTAAAATGCATACATGTTGCATTTTAGCGCAATCCTATGTTGTGAATAGGACTCATTGGAAATTATTGTTTTTAAGATGTCCTTCCATTGATCTAAAATGCAGATCAATGCATTTTTATGTCAATTGG